GGAAAGCAAAGATATGTGATATTGAATGGAAACGTCGGTTCAACCCATATCATTGTGGGAAAATTCTTCTTCTACCAGTCCTTGTTTACCTTAAACGAAATTGGGCAAATACACCTCATAATTATTGCAGTTTTCGTCAATTTGGCTCTCTTGTCCGTCGTCTTTCTCGACCACGGCATTGTCATCACCTTCGCCTTCACCGACGCTGCCACAATCATCGTCAGCCTCCCAGCCTCCACAATCTTGTCCGCTATCGTCGCCATCTTCATTTCTCTCACCACCAAACTCCACTTTATCCTCTTGTCAGACACCGTGGGACCTTCATTTCCAATTAATCTTTAATAAAACCGCCTCCTTCAGCACTCACGATCTCGATCGCCTCTTCGCCGTTTTCACGTTTATCATCTAATCACCTTCGAATCGGCTAAGCCATTGTTTTCATCGTCATCTTTACCACGAGCTTCGACGTTTGGGACTAAATTTGCATTTTAATGTGAAAAAGAAGCCAAAGTCCAAGTCGCCGTCCAGAATCTATCGCTTTCTTGTATCTCGTTGACCTCTTGTACCTCATCGTCTTCTTTGCCATCTCTTCTGCGTCATATTCACCCTCCTGCCTTTCTCGACTTTGCCTCTTTTATCCTCTTTTTACGGCTCAATTGTCACCAGATTCGCGCAGCCCTTCCGTCGTTCTTCCGTCCTCGTACCAACTAAACCATTCGCTTGGCAAGAACCGCTTCTCAACGACCCAATGCGATCATGTTCTGCCTGCTCATCCCGAGGCTGTAGATCGCAGATGCTGCATTTTCCCTTCTGTCAGTCCTATTCGTTGCAGCTACTCCACATCCGCTTCCCTCCGTTGCCAGACGCATCATTCGTAGAAGACAGAGTCTCTTGACACTTTCGCTTTTCTCTCGCCATTTTGACGGTTCACTCAACCGTGACCGAGACATTGGCAGACTTCGCTCTCGACAGAAAAGCTGAAACCAGGCTGTCTTGGAATCACCTCGCCATGCCATTCTACGAGTCTCGACTGCGGCGTCTCTCTACCACATCGAGCAGTAGACATTCGGCCGCAAAGTGTAGCTCGTCGTGTTGCTGAGCGCCTTTTTTGTCTAAGACGACCAGAAGAGCCACTGATTCGAGTTCAGTCAAGCGGAACATCTTCACTTGCAGTGGGTGGATCGTGAGTGCGAATCCGACTTTGTCCATGACAACCGAGTGCACCCCCTACAGGATACAAGTTCACGGCTAGCACTTGAAGGTGGATCAGTATCAGTAGTATTATTAAATAAGTTAGGTATGTGTGTGTGTGTGTG